AAAATATACAAGTAATTTAAAGATACAAAAGACCATTACGATACACTGTACGATGAAGATTGTCTTTCACATACCTGTTAGAAGTACAAGAAATATGCAATGTAAATCTCTAACAATTTGGTTTCATTCCAATGCGAAAGGTTAATATTCTAAAATGTTAGGAAAATTCGCTATACAAATGTATATGTAACATTTGTATAGCGTATGCTATAGCGTATGCTATGTATGTAATGTAGCATTTGTATTTGTATGCTATGTAACATTTAAAATCCTTTGACTCAATAATTTGAAAACTCGTCGCGTTCGCTTTCACGATATTATTAATAAATGACGAAAAGCGATTAAAGTGTTAGAAACTATCAGTGTCGTGTAATGATCATGAATAAACTACGGATATTTACGTAGTGAAAAAGCAAAGATGTAAGAACAATATGCTAAATTATGCAAAATATGTGCACACATAAATACATATGTATGTTTGCGAAATACGTACAAATAATGTTATGATATGCTTTTACGTATAATCATTTTCGTTATAACACAGGTATAGAATAATGGTCTCTTTACGAGTTTCGATAGTAATCTGATATCATTGATTTAAAAAATGAAATTATTGGCGTAGAAAGACCATCCCCCATATCGCAAGTCAGGATGGAAACGTATTTAATTGTTTCAATATCGAGTTGAAATTTTCTTTTAGTGTTTGTACGTGTAGGGTACGTAGCACTTAAAATTGTTGCAATTTTCAAAATTATATGGTAATAGGCAATTTTCTTTAAAATATAACTTTTCTCTGTAATTTCTCACTAAAAGGCCAGTTTCTCGGTAATTTCAGTAATTATTTCTATCGACGCATAGTTTTTAAGACATTTATCCATCTTATTATGTTGTCATGTTAACTAAAAAGGTTTTTAAATGGACTTCAATGTACGCTAGAACGGACAATTCCTTTTTCGACTATGGTCGATACCGCGTTCTTCGTCGTCAAACGATTCTATTATTTTGGAAACGATATCGTATCCGGAAGTAACAATTTAGCTCACCAAGTTAGAGAAATAATCACAAATACACAAATACTTTTCTTATAAGCTGTAAAGCTGAGTAGATAGAAAATAGCGTCTTTGTACAGGATAATGCCATTTCTAATCAAGTTTTTTATCTTGTTGTAATCAGCTGCGATAAAAGGAAAATATTTGCGAGTTTTCTCACTGTAAAAATTCATGAAAATTCATGACAAGGAAATACATAGGAAGCTTTTAGGAACGTTACGCTGAATATATTTTTGATATTTACTAATCAAATCAAGGTTTTAGGATACTATCAAATTCAGATTATACCGAGCACGCTTGTTATAAATTGACTATAGCCTGCAGGCTATAGTCACGATTCATATATTATTGCAAAAATAAAAATATGTAAAAATGTGCAACATATTCGTATTTATCTGTTATTTCTGTCAAATATGAAAAACATATACAATACAAAGAAAGTACACGTATCTTTATATTTGTATAGATATCCGCTCTCTAGTAGTGACAATAAGCAACAGAGTAAGTGGCTTACGGTCTACAGAATAAAAGTCTGTGAATTTTCTGGCGCCAAGTAATTCGTTTGAAGCACTCTTCGGCAAGCATTGGTCTCCTTCGTCGACGTTCATGCCTTTCTAACATACTGCAGCGCCGGAAGGAAGCTCTTGACAAGCCACTCGCCTTACGTTACGTCCCAAGCCTCTTTCTTGTTGCGTTCAGAATGGGACGTTACGCGCTGCTATTAGACGCGACTAATCGACAGACACTGACAAACAGGAAACAACGCTCGCTCGTTCGGCGATAAAAAGAAAACACCGCCCGTCTGATCTACGATAACTAATATCGAACGCGTAACAAATTTTGCTTTTCAAACGAATATTATTTTTTTTCTATTCGATTCTAGCCCTAGTTTATATCTCTGTTGAAATACTTATTCGATTGATCAAACATAGTGGTTAAATACGATGTTCGTTAGATGGTTAAGCGTTACCGAAATACAAAACTTTTCAATGATAAAATAGTAGATAAAATAACAATGTTAAAACGGATATAAAATTCCACAACAAGACAGAAGTGGATGAAAATGGAAAATCTTAAATAATATTCTCTTGATTAATTATTTCCACTTATTTACGTACTTCGTCGTAATCGTGCATAGCTGAGGATTATTGTTAAAAATGCCTGACCAATTAAAAGAAAAATACATAACAATCTGTAAAAGAATTAATATTTATTTATCAAACTATCCTATACAGGAGAGTAATTAACTACATATTTCATATTAAAGCATATCGTGTCTCTTATGTTCGTCGGAGGTAAAAAAGAAACGGATGTACTGTTTTTAAATAATTATTGAAAAATAACTTTATACCGTTTTTTTTTTTTCACCTATTTGAAACATGTACAACGCTTTATAACAGTTTCTTTGTTACGCGTAATTCCAAACAAAGATTCTCACCCTTTGTTTCATAGAAAACATAACTGCCACGATTTTTAATCGAAATCTGAATTTGGTGAAAAGAAGAAAAATTACAATTTCGCTTAGGTTAATAGCAGGCACGGAAGATGTAGGCCGATTCGATTTAAAAGTTGTTCCAGTCGGTTATAAGTATACCTTCGCAGTCGAGTTTAGAAGCTCACGATATTACGCCGGAACGAGTCTGATCGTTCATGAATACATTATCCTTTCTAACGAGGTGAATAGGTGAAGTAGACGGAGTCACAGTAGTCTGTCCATAAATCACTCAAAGGACAAGCCCGAGCCGACAGGACGCAACGTATACGATGCCGCTTGAACACTCCCGCATCAGTTTCCATTTTTTTCCCCAGTACCCCAGCCGTAAGGAAATGCTCCTTCATTCGACTGTAAAATTACCAGCCGTCACACACACTACCGTCTTACGACTTATCGCGATAGTGTTCTCTTCAACTTTGAAAATCCTACTAAATTCGTACGTAATAGCGACCATGACTATTACGCCTATTTTAGATTGCAGATAGAGGTACGTACTTATATCACTCGCTGCTGTATCTCACAAACATTTATTTTATTTAAAGTTAACGATGTCTTTCTACAATACGTCATAAAATTCATAAATATTCAATGAGGAAAATTATTTTTCTTTGGGTGTCTGTGGTGGCAAATTTACGTATAATATATATTTCCTATATCTATATTAAATGTTATAATCAGCAAAAGTTTAGGTCAAAGTTTTATTTAGAAGTTCGTTAATTTGCTAATAATCTATTTGACTTCTGTGCACGTGTATTTCGTAAGTATCAAGTATTCAAATATGATCAAATAATATTATCTATTTGTACAGTTTGAAATTATACTGTAAAATGGTTATGATGAAAAAATTGATAAATGTGCAATCCCTGAGATTGATAACTCGAATTTCCTATAAAATTACACAGTAATTTTAAGTTTGGCGACGGTGGACAGTACGTATTCTATTTTCTACGATTCTTCTCATTGCTATTTTTCGACAATATCTATAGTGCTTGAAACGAAACAACTTCTGATCATAAATATGCAGAAGCAAGTTTTAAACACATTGTTGTTCGCAAATACTATTCAAGATACGCGTAGCCTATTATGAACGTACAATGCAAAAAACACTAAAAAGACATATAATATCTAGAAAATTTATTTTGAATTAGAAAAGAACGCGAAATTTTGGAAAACTATCTTCATATATAATACGTTTAAAACTTTTGTAATCAAAAATCATTATCTCTTTATACTAGTAAAAATGTAAGAAATAAAAACAGGAGCCTATAACTATAGGTGCATATAGTGGCTTAAATGAATATTCGAACGCCCTTTAAAACTGAATTTTTGTTTTTATTGAATAAATCTTCAGCATGTGTTGTATAAATTTTCATTACAAAACTAAATAAACAGCTAGTAAAAAGCGACTTTTACTTTTTTCTTCGCGATTCTGATTAATTGCCATATTTCAAAATTTTTCTGCACGACATGTAGTAAATTAATCCTTCTAACTTTTAAGAAAAAGATCGAGTCGTTTGTCTAATTTTAAGAAAGTTACTCCGTTTTAAAGGATGTACGAATAATCATGACAGCCATTCTATATCACTATCATTTTTGATACTACCATTTTTGTTCCTCGATTTTACTACACGTGACACACAATTGTTAATTAACGAACATATTTTATACAGTTAAATTAATTATATAGCCTTTTTCTTAAATACATGATCATCGTATCAAAACGAATTATATTAAACGTAACGTAAAATTCTAATTGGAGGATGTTCTGTCTTGGCATTAAAGTTCCAAACAAATAAATTTTAATGTTTTTCGATTAATAACATTTTTAAAAAAAACTATATTAGACAAGTGAAAAGTTATTATGCGTACATAAAATTTGTTTATGTATAGAATATAATTATCCCCAGATAATTTATGTACGCGTACAAAATTAATTTTAAAAAGTATCGCATTGATTCGTACTATCTGTCGTACTAACTGTAAACCGTATTTCGATTTTACAAATTTCGTTATTATCAGGTAATTCAATTAAAGACAAAAGCATTTTTCCGTTAAGAAATAAGTTCTGATATATTTCACTTCAATAGGGTATCAAACAGCGCTACGCAATGCGGAATAACAATAATAATAGAATCAACAAGTCAACGTGGGGTTCGCTCAAAAAATGAGGGAAGTAAAACGTACAAAATTTCGATTCAAATACAAATTAATTAGTACATATTCACCGACTACGTATTCTTAGTCAAATTTTCTCCGCACATTCAAATTGTTATTGATCGTAATGATAAGAATTATGCAATAATAATATTTATAATAGTAATAATTGCTACATGTGTACATATTTATACTTACGTATATATGTATATATTTGTACATTCATACATTTACACGTATGCATAAATACGTATATGCACATGTATATGTATGTACATATCTGATATAGGAGAAAATAGATCTATTCGTAACTTAAATTGTATATCTTGTAATACATTCGTTTTTCTTCGGTACATAAAGTCGTTATACAAGAATTCGTAACAGTACTAAATTATCGATCAATCACTAAAACTTTGGTTACGCAAAAATATAGACGCAATATTCGTCAGCTAGTCAAGGATTTGTCGAATTTACGTTCACGCGTTTACTATCACTAAGCTCCACCGGTCCGACGAAAAGTGCTTTTCCTTTTCCTTTTTTAGATTCGCCGCGCCGTCTACGTACCTATGAACAAATGTACAATAGTTACAATAAAGATTAGTGATGAATATTAATCCATAAATACTACACATAGACTCGTTACGTTATATTCATTCGAATGTTCGCAATAATGGAGGACATGGTACAATTGGAACATCGCGATCGACGAGAATTTACTGCGTCGTTTCAAGCTATGTATTTTCATAGGCTTGGAACTTAAAGCATGAAAAACGTGGTTTGCAAATTTACATTGGAATTCTGCGCCGATAAACGATCAACTTACTCGTTAACGTTATAAACGTTTATCCTTTATCATCATATTTTGTACTATTTTCAAAGTTACGCAACATTTCCAATCTATTCGATTTTAACATTCCAGGCTATTTGTCAGTAATTATATTAGGTGGGTAAGTGTAGCGCGAAAAAAATACTGTCTCGTCGACGATAAGATTCACGAGGAAATATTCGATATTAAAAATAATCGCCTGTTGATAGTTGGAGTTAAAGATCCGTGATCGCGTATGTATCGATAAATTCTAGAACCACGCATACACATATCTGTAGCGGAAGCGCAGCATATCTCACTCATGCACATGGTAGCTTTCTCACTCGGAAATCACAGTTGAACATTGGTTTTTCGACGTTACCCGTGGCACTCGTTTGTTTTATTTTTCGAAATTAAGTGGTTCACGTCAGGTGCAGCGAACGGGCCACCGTGCAGCCAAATATTTCAGTTCAGTATGTGACAGGAAATGATTTTCAATCGGAAATTACCATCGTACCGGAGAACAAAAATTCATCGACAGCGTAACATAGAAAAGGAAATCGTACAATAATAAAAAGCGTATGGTCGTATACACTGGTGCGCGCGCATAAGTGTTCAAACGTCGTGTCGAAGATGTATTGTTGACAATACGAAATACAAAACGAATGAACGTTGGAATATTTGAACGGCGATGTAAACAAAATAGTGGTGTACGCGAACGTGATATTAAGATCAAGCACCGGGGTACATCGTAACACATCGTAATACATAACAGCCGGTTAAACGCGCGTCGACAGTTAATAATTATGCAGTAGCCTTAAGTGGTTCTTTCAGGCACACGTTATTTTCAGATTTGCTCCCCTTCACTACACGCTTCGTTATTCTTGCACAAGAATCACAGTTAAATGATTGGTACACTATAATACTTGCAATCTTTTTAGCACTTCCTACCGAAGACTCAACACGTGTGAAGGTACGGCTCTTTATCTCGATGATGACACCAACCTTTCAGCAAGCACGTTAAATAATCATTCGCAGCGTCTCTTATTTTTCGGTCTGACTAATAAATTAAAATAACAAATTTAAGAATGAAGATAAGATAAGGAGGTAAGGGAACGAAAGAATAAGAAAAATGTATAAAAAGAAAGGAAATTCTACGATACTAAAATGTTGACAAGAGTAAGCAACTAATTTGTTTGTTTAACGTAATTGCGAGGTTACTTTAACGAGGTCAGCTCGCTTGGTCTGTTTTTGTATTCCGTATCTTCGGTTTATTCGGTACTTTTTGCATATTTACGTATCAAACACTTCCCTATACTCGCACGAGGATCACAGTTGAACGGTTGATATTCTTCGACGTCATTGCTCGGCAAGATCCGTGGTCAAGGACTCATTGAGGCAAGCCGGATGCAGCACCAAGGCGAGGAGCTCCGTACAGCGAGTATGGGGAGAAATACGGTGGTAATCCTGCAGGTGTGTGCGGATGTGGCGGTGGAAGCGGTAAACCCAACGACGATAGAGACGGCGGCAACAACGGTGAAGGTTTCCCGTAAGGGTGATAGCGCGCGGTTGCGAGTGGACTCAAAGGTGGCGTGGGATAAGTCCTGGAGAACAAAGGATGTGTCGGTGGTAATCCAACGGAGGGCGACAGCAGAGACAACGCGGCTGACGGATCCGTAACTCCGCTGCTATTCGACACGCTCGTGTGACTCCTCAGATGTTGCAACAATTCGTCCGACGTGGAAAATCTTTTGCCACAGTAAGCAGTATCGCCTGCTATCCAGTTGCACACATACGGGAGTTGCGAGGCCGCTGCCAAAGCTGCCAGTTGTGCGTGTGCGTATGCGGCTACACCCAGCGCTCCGTAAGCCGTTGTACCGGGTTTGTGATCGCACTGAGCACATCCAGCAGGACAGGAACCTGCCGCGCCACTCGTACTGCTCGCTAACTTTCCATTCGCCACCACTGCACTCGCGGAACTGGCAAGCAGATGAGAGTTTAACTGACAACCAGTGCAATACGGATCCCTACAAACGGGCATCAGGGCATCGGGACCGGAAGAACTCTTCAACCTTGCGTAACTCAGATAGGGATTACCGGCCACTAAGCTATTCTTTAGCGCCGCCTGTTGCTGAGACATCAAAGAACTGGCTGTCACATCGATGGGTAATTGTGGACTGTAACCTAAATAGCCAGAGCTCGACGAGGCTAAACTGACACCAGGTTTGAAAGTTCCCAACGGAAGATCCTTGATGGACGGATCCGTTATCGCTAAAACACCGGCTGGGCTATAAGAAGGTTTTGCTTGTAACGATGGACTGCTGACGACGGCCGGCTGAGAAGAACTCGATGAGTCGAGTTGAGTCGATGAAAGATTCGTCATTGATGTTCTCGAGGCGGGTGACTCTCGAGCTGTATCCCCATTCGGCGTCGATGTTTTACGACCTTGCGGTGTCACCGCTCGGACTGACGAGGCGCTCTGATTGCTCGGACATCGTTTGTTATTGCTACCAGGTGTCCTCGATCGACCGGAAGTCGAATGACTAGAGGCTGACCGTTGTTCGTCCGGGCTTGACGCTTTCTCACGACCTAAACACGACTCGTAAGGCTTAAAGTTTGCCTTGGTTGATTCTGTGGATGTCGCCGCGATCGTCGGTGACGATTTTTCACGCAACTGATCCGCCGACTTGGACGATTTGTTGTTCGACCCTTTGTCCAACGAGCCCAGCAGAGATTTATTGGACGGCGTGTCAGCTCCTATTTGACTGCAAGTCTGTGCGAGGAGCGCGAGCGGACTCTTCTTCGCATCCAGCTGGAAATACAGAAAGTTTATTAGTATAATTATTAAATATATAAAAATTACTAAATATATAATATAAACATATAGAATATAATTAATATAATTATTATATTTAATATAAAATTTAATTAATTAAATTAAATTAATAATTAATATAATTATTATATTTTATATGTTTATATTATAATAATCGGATAATTTTTATGTATCTTTTAAAAGCTACGATACATCGCTTTTCTAATTTTATTGATATTTTGTAAATATGTATATGCACGAACACATAGAATTTGCACGTAACTGTGCCATAATGTACTTTTAGCGTCGTTTGCAACAAATATTTATTAAAACCATATATATTTTGAGTTTCATAAATATTGAATACGTTTAATACATTTGCACCGTTACTAAATTAAATGTTACGTCCGTAATTTAATTGTTCAGAGATAATTTAATATCACCGATATTTCGATCATTTTCCATTTATGTTATAACGTGTTCGCGTGAGGCTTTAGATTGAAAGGTGACCACGGACAATATGTTACGTTCATACGTGTAATCTTACGACTGATAAAAAGTAATGGCTGATGAGTACAATATCAAAAATCAAGTAATCAAACTAACACATATCATTTTATACTCTAACGTAAGTCTTATAAAATTACATATATCTGCAAGACAGACATATTGCATTGTATATTGCTGTTATTTCATTGAGAATCTTCTTTATCGCTCTGAAACAACGTTATTTTTAACTTGAATTACAATCAGATATATACGAACATTTGTACTGTAAATACAGAAATATGTAGTTGTCACGACGTAATGATTCATCAAACGATCAAGCCAATCCAACATCAACCATCAAATTATTTATTGCTTTGTTTCTTACTGTGGTTTCCGTCACGCGGTATCGATAAATGAATAACACTCAGATAAAAACGATCAATTTCTGAATCACGTCTGGTAAATGCCAGCGACAATTAGGCGGTCATCACTTATTTCTCTACAATTCTCACGTATTTCGTGCTAAATAATATACATGCAACGAAATGAATAATATATGCAAATAATACATACATATATATACAGGGTGGTTGGTAACTGGTGGTACGAGCGGAAAGGGGGTAATTCTACGCGAAAAAAGAAGTCGAAAATATAGAATAAAAATTTTTTTTAATTTTTTTAAATTTTTCCATCGAGACAACGATCTACAGTGAGATCCGTTATAACGAGACGCGATAAAGCACGCGTACCGAGCGAAAATTCAAAGTCGATTTTCTCGAAAACAAAGCCTCAAACGAAAAATTTTTATTCCATATTTTCGACTTCTTTTTTCGCGTAGTATCATTTTCGCGTAGAATCACCCCCTTTCCGCTTGTACCACCAGTTACCAACCACCCTGCATATATACCTAACGAATTTGTAATGTTAAGACATAACTCATATTATTTTCAAATACTACTCAGCTACAAGATAAATTTGTCGTCAAATATAAAATATCATGCTTTAATCTTCTTATATCTCTTTTGCAAGTATTGTAGAATAATCGTTTTTAAGAAATTGTTATCCCTTATGAGATATTGAACTGCGGATTTTCATGCATTTAGGCAGGTAGAAAATTTGAAAGCGCAAAATTGTATAGAATGCACATAGTACGAAAAAAAAGAAAGAAAAAATAATACAATACTTTGAGTACAAGTAGTGCTCTCGACAAAGCTTGATAAGTAAGACAACCTTTTACCGTAGTTCTACGTTTTTAATTATACCCTTAAAATGAAATTTTGAATTTGCACGAAAATCTATAATCTAATCATTACTAACGCTGATTGTGCATTTAGATACTTATATATTTATAAATATGTGTGCAGCATTCAATGCAATACGAAGATCACTACAAAAAATTATTTATATGTTATATAATTTTATTTAAAGATGTTTATTAAACCCAAGATACAATTTTAAATACATTTTGGTATTCACAATAAACGGTGAATTTTTGTAGTGATGTTTTAAGCAAAAGTACCGATACGCAACGGTACGACGTAGCCATGCTATAATATGTGTCGGCGTTTTACATTTTTCGTGTTTAATATAATTTTTGGGTTTAAGCCGCTGGGGGAGCGGAGCTTCTATGTGATTTTGTTTTTATTTGTTTTTTCTGTCCTGAAAACTTGGTCGCAAAACAGGACGCTTCGGTAGCTTACTTTTTGGATGCTGTTATGTTATATAAGTAAAAGCTGCAGTGAAAGTATTTTTAAATACATTATTTTATGTATACTGTGCACCAATCTTTATCAGCAATTCAATTTAACCTTCTATTAACATATATGTTACATCATTATTCTATATCATTAACGTTTATTATCTAAAACAAAATTCTTTTCTGTGTACGCAACTTGAATTTTGCAATTGTCATATTAATGATTGAGGCCTGGAGATATTTTCGTAAAGGATTTAATTATCCTTATTTAAATCGTTCAGTGTCAGCAAAAATGCCAAGCATCAATTATATATTATTATCGCATCGCTGAGAATTACGCCTGTTTCATCTACAGTGATCAAGTTGTTAAAACAGCAGAGAATTAAAATGGCTGTTTACTGTAGGACCGTAGCCAATTAATAAGTAGTTCTCGACGTAGCGTAGACGCGATTAGTGGGAGAACGAGTGCGAGAATTTAATATTGGCGCCGGGTGAGTGTTCGCTTGGAAGTAGCCTAGGATGATGCAGTTGGTATAATTAGCGTATAGAGGAACAATATTTCTCGCGGTTGATACGTCCATCGAACAGATGTTCACCGTAATTAAAATGCAACGTTCATGCAACTAACCCATCGTTTGCGGTTGCTCCTGCTAATGGTGCGATGCCGACAGATATTAATGTCATGAATTGCAACAGACTATTACAGCATTACGGTTAAAGCTATATGTTAATTGCTCTGGTACAAGTTAACGGAACATCCGATAGTAATATTTTTATCGTCAACGTCAACTCATTAATCATGTACAACCAAGCTATTTAAAAATTTCCCTTTTATGCGGTTTTTCATGGTTGTAAAAAAAGTGTACCTGATGTGTATTATTAAACAAAACACATTCATCGTTGTTCGATGTTTCTGACACAAAAAGCTGTAAACATAATCTTTTGCAACTGCCCAGACTTGTACCCATTTCGTTTCCTATACAAGTAAAACTTTGAAATTATTTGTAAATTTATCTGTGATACCGTCTTTATTAATTTTGTCTCGGCCGTCTCTGTTACATGTTTCACATGTTTGTGACGTGTTATCTCACGTGTTCCAGATTTAGTAGCATATTTTCCAATAATTCTAGCTATATTTTTAACAATTCTTCGGAGCATGTAAGACGTAATACTGAAATGATCTTAGCTATTTAGTAAGAAATATAAACATTTTGAGCGTTATAGTCCACAAATTCTGGATCTTCCATAATCTATCCATTAGTATGCGAAGGTTAAATTATCTTTTTAAATATTTGTACACCTAAATTTTGTTCGTTTAGGTATATCGTAGTGTTTGTACGAAGCCGACAGGATACCTCTTAAATCAATCTATACGAGAAATTTTGGAAGATTCTTCGCTGTAAATTGCATCTTTGCGTTATACCTGCTCTCCATATTGTAGCGTAATATATAATAATGTAATAAAATAACAATTAAAGATCAAACAATAATCGCCAAATTGTAAATCTATCTATCGAGAACTTTTTACTTAAATCTCAATAAAATTCTACGTTATTCAAATCAAATTTAATAACCCAGTATGTATATATTATCCAAGTAAATAGTTTTATATTTCTTCTGAATGTTTATGAAGTTAGCCAATAACTTTTAATGTTGCATTAACGTCAACTGTAAGCAGCTTGCGTTGTAGCTCAGTGACAACTGCAAGTAATGATGTATCTCATATAACCGGTAAGTCACTCAATAATGCAAAGTTCATTTAATAAAGAAAATTTCAATTTTAAATATTACACTGGACTTTATTCCACGTACTCTACCAGCGAAGGATTGCTAACAAAATTTTTCCAACGAAAATAAATCTCCTATATCATACACTTCTGTTTCGTTTCTTGTTTATAATACCGATAATTATTATACGTTTGTACATCCTCTAATTCTTTAAAATTATCATCTAGTTAGATTACTTTTTCTTTGATATAATTCAAAATACATAATTCATATAAAGACTTATTTATTTTTATATTTTTATTCGAAGAACACGAACAATCGATCGGTAGGTAATAGTTTCATGACGATAGAACGAAAAATACAGAAATTTAAGTTCCTCTTAACCTAGTTGCATTCGACGTTTCATTTCGTTTGATTCATTTCAACTTTGACATATAAAACATAAAACACATCTTTCATGTTCAAAAACATGTTACCGTATATACAGTGCATTAGTGATTACGAAAGTATGAAAATACAGAAAAATTATCTAGTTTTTGAAATTACTATGTTGAATATCAACTTATTGAAATATAATTCCGATTGGAAAAAAACGTTCATAGAACATTCATCGGGTTCGTTTGTTACACTCACATTCTGTACCACCGATAATTCGCAGCATTGCAGAAAATTTCATAAAAACGCGGGACTTATTCAGGTAACAACATAGAGCCAATTAGGTAAGTACTTGTTGCTTTTTACCCGTGATACCAATTGAAACATAATACGCATGCTCTTTATCATGCACTCGAGAGAATGCACGATGATGTCTATAACGAATCGTTTGTTTGAAAACTCATTGAAATATTATTGCATGTTACCTGTCTGATGATTATAATACAATATAAAGTACAAAGGCAGAAAAAAGACGAAGGAAATTTAATAAATAATGGATTTGTGGAAACGATTTTAAACCGGCAGGGTTATGCTTAAAGGAACGAGAAGTAAAAAAGAAATAAAAAAAAATAAAGGTTTATCACCATTAAGTGCGTACTTACGGACGACGTAAGTAGTCAGGTTTATAACGTGCATAAAAAATAGAAAGAGAAAATGTAGATGAAGGAAAAGAAACTGAGCTCCCGACCATATTTAGCACTTATATACACACATGTAACTACTACACGCTCTTTTATGTCTATCCTCGTAGCATTGTACATATTGCCGAATCGTGTTTTGATTTACGATTGCTCGTAAATCAGAGAACGTTCAAGCAGAAACTTTGCCAGCACTCGCTGTCCTCAAAATAGTTTACAGGAGTTAAAGCGTAAGACGTGAAATACATTCCCGTCGCGATTAACGAGAAGCCGACAACTAGAATTAACGAACTGTCGAAACTATTGTTGTTGAAACTATGTGTTCATTTTATATCAACTTAATCACAATAAGTTGATGGCTATTGTAACATTGTCACTGATTCGCTAAATCGTTCAACGCAATCAGTTTTAGCGTATTTTATAACCGTTTAATTTGTGGGCAAAAAATTTTAACGATTTAATCATATGCAATTTTCTTTTCAAGTATCTACATTTTGATCGCATACAACTTTCATAAAATCTCACATGGATTAAATAACTTTGGCATTCGTATATTATCTACATATCTTTTGCACATATGTTGATATGTTTAGACCGAAGTATGTCTAAAACAATGTAAAACTTTGGAGTAATTTCAAAACGGTTTAAAAAAAGCAAAAACAAATTCAGGAGACAAATTGGTAATTTGTTTCGTGTGAAAAATTACGTTGAAGTCTGATAAGGTATTTTCAACACGTTTATTTATGTCGCGGACACACTAAATCATCACTATATATAGTCGGAGCAAAGGAAAAATGGAGGAAAGAAATAAGAAACACAACACAAACCGTAGTAGGTAGAGGCGTAAGATATTCCGGACGGAGGTACTGATTTGCGCTGGAAGTCAGCATCTTAAACGATATTCGCCCTCTTTCTGTCCACAACTATTCTCCTTGTAACAGATACCACTGTGATCACTCGCGACAGTCCGCGGAGGACTGACGAACGAAAGTTCGACCACACCGTGGAAACTGGTAACACTGCTGTACGTCGTTCTCTTCCTTACATCTGTCGAGGCAAAAAAATGAAAGTGTACGTAGATGAAGCCATTTGGCTTCTAAAACGCTTCATTCCAACGTAAACACAACTCTCTTTCGACGTATGAGAAACACAACACACAGTGATATGGCGAGAAACGAAATAAAAAAAGACACACGTTACACTGTACGGCACACAAGATATAGCATTAAGTTACCACGGCCGGCTTCGAATCGCGACTGAGTCGCATCGCTTACTGTTCCCTCGACCGAGCCTCCCCGTCCCCCCACCAGCGCTCTCTATCGATGACCGTTCAGCTGACTTACCCCGCCACACTATGCTCCCCCGGGAAAGCTTACCCCTTCGCCGCTCTGTCGGTACATCCTAGTTTCCCCCACCATATATCTTGCCAGATTTTCTAGCGATGAAAGTAACACTCTCTCATGAAAAAAACCTCATTCCGATCAATTTTTCGATATTCATATCGATATCTATCCCATTTAATGCCATCTACGACACGTTTCAATTTGTGCTGTTTTATCGATCAATTAGGAAATGAAAATCTCAGGTTATTTCTATCTTTATTTTATATTACATAACATGAACATTTCAATCTCAATTGTAACCATTTGGAAAGTATCGTTTTAATATCATTGCATGGTATCTAAAATAGATCTGACCTTATTTAAAGCAGAGTATTATCAGTAATACCATACTTAATGAATCGTGTATATGTAATTATGATTATGTAATACAAACATTTAACAAATGAGATAATAGTAATACTCATTAGGCGTTTAATAAACTAAAGTGTTAGAGTATTCAAAAGTAACACCAAAATTGTACAGAATAATTTTGCTTTCTTAATTGAAACATTTTTTGTGTTTATTTCTTTCCGATAGAAGTATTTTTTTAGCAATAATTATTTGTTTTTTTTTGTATATTTTCAAATTTTCTCAAATTGTGAGGTAGCTTATAAATTTAGTTATAAATATGTTATATGTAATTGCTGTATTTCCAAAATTTGCTATAGCGTGAACATTGATAATCTATGTTATTTTTAAAATTGGATAACGTGTTTAAGGAAATATTTTAAATTATTTTTTGTTTTAGTTTATTATCTGTTAAATTAATATATTTCTAGCAGGTCCACATATTACCTATTACATTTTTTACATATTACATTTGCTATATCGATTGTGTTATAGATATTTATTATACGTAATAAGTATTTCATTAATAACTTAGAACTTTATTGCAATTTCTAGATATGTATTGTGTATGAATAGGTATGAAATATAAAACACATTTGTGTTTGCAACTTTTTAAAAGATTCCTTTTCTTGAATCCAAAATAAAATATTATTAAATGTAACTGTGATTAACTAGCTGTATATATTTACAAGTTTCACAATGATTGGCGTATTATCAACCATTTTATTAATAATATGAGAGAAAATAGCACTTTGTTATCGTTTAAGAATTTTGTGTAAAGCTTACAATGGCTTTTATTTAAAACGGTATTAAATTATTCCTTAAATTTACAATTACCTTTTCCTTCTTTAGTACACTGTTTGTATAGATAACAAATATGCTTATTATACCTAATTACTTGTATATTTATTAAAAAGTGTACTTATTGTAAAGCTATACACGATGAAATTAAAAAGTTATCTTATTTTATCTTTCTATTACTACATTAATTGTTGTATAGGTAGTAACTATTAGGTTGCCCGAAAAGCTTCTTTCGTTTTATGAGGAAATAATAGACGGACAACGTTTTTTGTTTTATCGAATTATGTACGATACGTTTCACAAACTTGGTTTTACATTTGTATGAAAGTGCACTGTTGCAAAAAACACGTTTAGGAAAGAAAGATACTCCTCGGACAACTTAATACTATTATGCTACAAGGATCCAATCACGCTACAATAATAGTCATCATTTCCATTTTGATAATTATATTCCCAATATGCATAACCTTAAAATTGTTCAGTTGAAACACGAAATTCGTCAATTGAAACGCAGATGAAATATGGAACTGCTATAAAATTCATTATTAGATTGAACTCGCAGCCATCGCTAGTCAAAGGATCGTAGGTTTCCCCACCCTAGTGAGAGGTATCGGTACGACAGCGACAAAGACAGAGCGAATAGGAAGAACGGCGCGACCAACCAATACGAACGAAAGAGACGAAGGTGACGTGGAGTTGGCGGTAGCGGCGGTGGTGGCGATGGTGGTGATGGTGGCGGCGGCAGCGGTGGCGTTCGCGACACGGTGGTCGTTGTCGGTTCGCGCTGTGCCGACACTTTTGCTGGGTGCAAGCGACCCGACCAACGACGTGTCAACTTGCGCAGGTGCCCCCACGACTTCGACGTCGACCTACCCCGCCACCACCACCATTCTCCTCTACTCTCATCCTACCTCTTTTTACTAGTACCTTTCTCCCGCAAACGTTTTAACACTAACGAAATCTATATTTTCGTCTGTTATCACCTCACTTACGAACGTCTGTATATGTACATACCTTAAAATCACTGTAAGCTTATACCGACGTCGAGAATTTTCAATTCATTAAGTATTAAATAGTTTACAAAGTACGCCATCATACGAATCAAATATTTTTAGGTTTTTACGAGCAGCTCTTACTCGCTTAACGGATTTTTTGTTAGGAATAATGCAATTTATGCGCAAATTGAAAATATTCCCACGTTCCACATTGGGTGATAATGAATAGGTTTATAACCTTTCATAAGAGTTTATAAGAGTTCCTTTTTAAATTCCGATTGCTCTTATTGAAATTTCTTCTTTCTTTTTAATTGATATTTTAAAAAATCTTAGAATGGATACATACTAGAATTGATATACAAATTAGTGCAGTGTTTATAATTTTTACGATTTCATGAATTTATTAAATTTTAATATTAACCTTTTTTAATATTTCGATTTCGATCCAAGACATATATGAAAATATTATATATTATTTTTATTGAAATTTCTTTTTTACAGTCTAATGCGAATATATATAATTGTATATTAAATATTTTTCCGTACAATTTTTGCAACATAAAAGTATTGTCAAGAAAACTTAACTGAAGATATCATGAAATACGCCATAGCCTAATGCATATACAGCATATAGTAACTGAACGAATTTCTTGTTTGATAAACGCGATTATTTTCCCGATTCCTTTCACACAAGTGAATAATAGATGCTATTAATACATACAAAATATCACGATATACTACATCATATCATGTAGTTGGGAAATTAACAGTACTAATCCGATTGTTCTGTTATGATTGTTCTCTTACTTCAAGTTTAAATAGGTCCTAAAACTTCCAGAATAATATATATGGGGATAATAATTAGTTGAAGGTTTAATTACTTTAAGGTTTTATTAAAGTTACATGTAAAAAGCACGAGAACTAACAGGTTATTAAAATTTCTGTTCTTCATATATTATCTTTCTGTGATAAATCATAAAATATACAATTAAGGTGCAACGCACGCGTGCGAGCTCTCCATAAATATTTGTTGCCTTGCCTTATCTTGGGTTTTATTTTTGACGTATTTACATATTATAAAACACTCATATACGTATATAAATGCAGTGATATAAAAGAGATGATTTTGTTACGTTCTGAACCGATTTTTTAAAAATTGTAACAAACATACAAGAAGTTAATAATTATTATCTCGTAACAAAATATTAAATGTAATCTATGTAACTTGAAACATTTTAGAAACAGCAAAATTTTACATACACCAAAATTGTACATAAAACAGTACGTAGTTAAAATTTTTGTTAATACCTATACATTTTTGTAATGGAGTGCGATTGATCATTAATATAGAGTAATCTAATATTAATTTATTTTATTTTAGTTACTCATAATGAAAGTTACTACGACACATGATAATTTTACTTCTTCTGTTTACATAAGGATGGGTATTATACCATGCGTTAGCCGTGATTTATTGCCATGGTTTTACAGGATTCAGTTAATTTGAACAAAACACCGAGCAAATAGTTTGTCAGATTTATGATTATTTTAAAGTATTCTAAAAGTTTATATTAACAAGCACTTTGCAAATTCCAGCGGTTTACAATTTTTGGTTTCGAATCTAATAAATAAAATCTATAATGTTTTCGAACATTATATAGAAATTATACAAAAATAGATATAACTGGAAATAGTCACAGATCTAGATAGGTTTCGTTCCTTACGTTTAGGAGAATGCACATTTCCTTTGGAAAAATACGCAATATCTAGAAAGACAACTCTAAAATTTAATTTTTGGTACAAAAATATACTACAGGTATAAATTATGAAAAATTTCTCACTTGCTAGTCACGGTAATAAATAGCAGCAATTAATAGTTTGATAGCTAAGTGATTTTGATTGTCCATCAAAGAAGAGTAGGGACAGCTGGTCAAACAATATATATTACAAGTTCGGCGTAGTCCTAATCATCCACATGCCGATTTTATGGCTTTATGACCATTATAAAAACAATTTTGGAAGGTTTTGGACGATTGCTGCTATTTGTGATGAAAGTAGGTAATAAAATCCAAAATCTTGAATGTTACATTATCTGCAGGAAGCAGGTATGTTTCAAAATATTCGAACATGTTCGTTGCGTATATATATTTCTTTCTGCACATTATTTAGCAGTTTATGCCTGCTCATAATTCTTTTATTTTTGACGACAGTGATATAGTTTATTTCCTGCATAAATTACAGAATTTTTTTATGTTACGTCAAAACATTTTCTTATAATTACTGTATTGTATGCGTTGTGAAAACGGGAAAGGTATAAACTTTCTAATTTTTCTTTTAGCTTATTAGCAGTAAAGGCAATGACATTTAAATTAGTTATATTAAAATATATTTTTAAGCATTTGATTCAGGTGTTTTTTAATAGTAATATCAAAATCAAAATTTATTCAATTGTTTATAAACAACAATAACTTCTTTTTATCATATATATGTTTATTCGAATATCAGTATGTAAAAAACAAAAATAATACTGTTTGAATGTTATTAACATACGTATCTCATATACGTGGAAGACCGATTCTGGAATAAATTTATGGCAAATATGTTTTAAATGCATACGTAACACCAGGTCGAATGCATATTGTAGCGATTAATGAATTTGGCTGAAATAGATTGAGGTGGTAATGGCACTGGTATATATGTTCACGGACGTGGATGGGTTCGTGCTGCATCGAAATGCATATCAATTG